GAAAAGGAAGGATTTTTAAAGATATGGTGCTGGGGAAATTAGTTAGCCCTGTGGCAATAAATTACATTGGACATCACACTCTACATATCATACTCTACACATAAATCAATTCCAGATAGAAGATGGAACCACAAAACATTCACAAAGCAATACAGAATTTTTTTGTGACCTCAAAGTAGAAAAGATGTTTTAAATAAGACACAAAAAGCAAAAAACAAAAGGAAAAGACACATAAATTAAACCGCATTGAAATTAAGAACTTCTGTTTATCACTGCAAAGTGAAAAGATGAACTAAAGCTAGAACATATTTGCAGCACATGAAGTGGGCAAAGGATTGGAATACAGAGCATATTAAAACATCCTAAAGCAAGAAAAACATGACCAATCTGATAGAAAAATGTGCAAAAGAAATGAACAGGAATTTCAGAGAAGAGGAAGCATAAATAGCTTTAAATATACGAAAAGAATTTCAACCTCATTAGTAGTGAGGGAAATGCAAAGTAAAACCACAAAATTAAATTTCACACCCACTTGAATGTCAAAATTTAGAGTCTCATATACCAAGGGTTGTCAAGGAGGTAAATAAAGTAAGGAGAACTCTTAATGCACTACTAATAGGAGTGTGACCTGGTCCAACAACTATAGTAAACACTTAGCATTATTGAATAATGTAACCGTGTGCAGACTCTACAATCCAGTAGTTCCCCTCCAGGCGATATGCTCTAGAATAGCTCGTGCTCTTGTATATCAGCAGACGTGGACAAGAATGTTCAGAACTGCATTGTGCCACCCAAATAGTCATCGAGAGAAGAATGGATAAATAATATGTAGCATATGCATACAATGGAATATTAAATAGCAATAAAAAAATTAGGCATGCACATCAATGTGAATATATATCAGAAACAATGCCAAGTGCATGAATATATACAACACAGTTCCGATAAACAAAATTAAGCATTATATGGTTTATGGATACATTCACAGGTGAGCAAATCTCCAAAGAAAATCTGAAGATTATAAGTATATTTGTATTCTGATGGAAAGATGCCATTTAAAGCAGGAAATCAAAAGTGTAGATAACATAAGAAGGAAAACTGTTGGACTTAAGTCCCTGAGAAGGAAGGAGGAAATGGACTTCAGAAGGCTACTTCTTTCTTTAATTGCAGATTGGGAGTGCAAGTGTTCATTGTATGATTATACAAGTGTTCATTGAATGATGCCTTTGTTTTTTAATAATCACAAACTTGCTGAGGGTTGGCCAGTTAGCTCAGTTGGTTAGAGCGCAGCCTAACACCAAGGTCACAGGTTCAGATTCCCTTACTGGCCAGCTGCACAAATAATAAATAAATAAATAATCACAAACTTGCAACTCACTAATCACAAACTTACAGAATAGTAGCAAGTATATGGACAAAACTTTTTAATGAACAATTTTAATAAAATGTCTTATTACCCTCTAATACTTTAGTGTGTATTTCAACAAACAAGGAAATTCTAATCACAATACAATGAAACACATCATCATCAAAATCAGAGAGTTAACATTACTGTTAACTTAGAGGTTAACATCGATTACTTTAGTCCAATCCTCACACTTCATTCAGATTTCACCAATTGTCTCAGTAATGTCTTTTACTGAAAAAAGATACAGCTTGGAATTACATGTCGTATTTAATTTCCTACAGTCTGAGACAATTCCTCAGTCTTTCCACTGTATTTATGGCCTCGGCACTGTTTAAGATTACAGGCCTGTTGTTTTTTAGAAAGTCCCTCAATTTAGGTTTGTATGATGTTTCCAGATTATCAGATTCAAGCTATGCATCTTGGAAGGAATATCACAGAAGTGATGCTGTGTCCTCATTGTATCCTATCAGGTGGCACATGACTCTCATTTATCCAATTATTGACAATGTTCACTCTGATGACTTAAAAATATCACTGAAAAGGATACATTGGCCAGGCTTCTCCACTGCAATGTTGGTCTTTCCCCTCTCTGTCATTAATAAGTATTTCATGGGGATGTAATCTGAAATGTTGTAAATATACTATTTCTCATCCAACTTTCTATTTACTTATTTATTTTTATCTGTATGGACTCATGGTTTTCTATTTCATTTGATAGGTTATAGTCTGTTACTACACTATTTATTTTGATGCTCAAATTGTCCTAGATTTGGCTATTGGGAGCCTTTTCGAGTTGGATTTTTAGAACTTTGATGCACCCCCACCTTGCTTTCAGCCCTTCTTTGCTTTCTGGCACAAAAAGTTGTTCTAAGGTTATCTCATACTTTTCCTGTCTATCCCTGGAAGCCATTTTTCCAAGGTCCATTATAAAGAAAATTGGCATTTAGAAGCCAAGATCTGTGTGCTAGTTGTGTTCATTGCTATTGAGGTGTCTCTACTCCCCTCTCAATAGACAATCTAGGGTCTGGCCAGTTAGCTCAGTTGGTTAGAACACAGTGTTATAACACCAAGGTCAAGGGTTCAGATCCCTATACTGGCCAGCCACCAAAAAAAAGACAATCTAGGCAATACATTCACAGCTATATGTATTTCTATATCTATTGAAAACCATGAGTTCACACAAATATCTCCAATTGCAGTTACTCTCTTTCCATATTTGCAATCCACTTCTCCAACAGTGAGAAATCTGGCTTTTATTTCCTTAATACATTTCCTTATTTGATCAATTCCCCTACATAATCAATCTCCTGTCTCAACACCGCTACCCACTGCCGTCCTCTCCACAGATACCCTCCTCTCCAGCCTTAGCTCTGGCTCTTGACTAAGATGACTTAGGATCCCTTCAGCTTGACTAAACTTTGGACGAGCTTGTTCCTGGTGAAAGGCCTCCCTTTTCTTACAGCATTTACTTTAGGAAACTTGTGATTGCAAATTCCTTTTCTGCCCTATTGAAAGGTATGTAAAACCTCCTAGTCTGTTGCTGGTTTTACAAGCCAAGAAGTGTCTTTCTCAAGGATCAGGAAACCTTGTCTTTGAAATGTTAACATCATAGTAAATTGCATCCCTATCTCCCAGGCCCTGTGGGAGGGTGGAGGTCTAATTTAGATGGGTGCCAACTAGAAAACACTGACGGCCTTATCACAGAGGAAAACATTTAGGAACTCAGGAGTAACTCAATGTAATCAATACATTCTCCCCACTAACATACATCCTTAAGTACTTTCCACTAGCTCAACCCAGTGCTTAAAAACAGTAAGTGATCTACAATTTTTATGTCAGGTTAAAAAAGTGAATTTTTAAAATAAAAATAATAACATTTTTAAAACCCTCCTGCTTTTTGTTTCTGCAGAGTTGAGTTCCATTTCTCCGCCCCTATCACAATAGCCTTGAATAAAGTCTTCCTTGCCCGTTTAACTTTGTCCAGTGCAATTTTTGCTGTGACACTCTTCAGGCTACACTCCCAGAGGGACATTTCTTTGTTCCGTTTGAGCTCTGATCTCCCTCACCGGACAGCCCTCCTTTTAGACACTTTCTCACCCTCCTCAACCCTCTCAGGTTCTGCAGGGCCTCCTTCCTGGCCTCTCACTTCCTGCTCTGGGCCACCTTGACTCCTTCTGTCTCCTACCACAGGCATCTACCTTTCTCCACTCATATAATGGTTTTAGGACTGACTTATTTGAAAATGGAAGAGAAAGAACAAGAAGGTAAGAGAAAGAAAGGTCAAAATCGTCAGGAGGTGGGAAGTAGATAATCTATGAAATAATGCCTATTGAGATAGGGAGACAAAACTTAATAAAAAACTGAATTACCGGGTAGTGTACACTGCCTATTTGAAGTTATATGCTTCAGTGCCTGGTAAAATTTCTCAAATATTAACTTTATATTTTTAGAGGTATATAGAAAAAAAATAAAAGGAAGTAAACAATAGGAAATAGAGATTGTGTTTGGATAGCATGATTTTTCTTCCTTCCTTATATATTCTGTATTTCTTAAGTTTGAAAATGAACTTTTAATATATTCACAATGAAAAAATGATTTCTTAGCTTTACTGAGGCATAATTGAGATACAAAAGTTGTACCCATTTAATGTTTACATCTTGATGAGTTTAGACATATGCATACATCTGTGATGCCATCACCACAACCAAGTTACTAAACATATCCATCATCTCCAAAAAAATAAATAATAATAATAATGTTTCATTTTCAAAAGATAATGAAATAAATGGTGACCCAGCAAGCAGAAGGATTTAGGCATACTGCATTAGTTTGCTAGGGCTGCCATAACAACATAACATAACAGGACAGGGTGGCTTAAACAACAGAAATTCATTTTTTCACAATTCTGGAGGCCAAAAATCCAAGATAAGATGTCATCAGGGTTGGTTTTTTCTGAGGCCTCTCTCCTTGGTTTATAGGTAGCCGTCTTCCCCCTGTGTCTTCACATGGTCTTCTCTCTATATGTCTGTGTCCAAATTTCCTCTTCTTACAAGGTCACCAGTCATTTTGGATTAGTGTTCACCCTAATGACCTCATTTTAACTTAATTACCTCCTTAAAGACCCTGTTTCCAAATACAGTCACACTGGGGCTTAGGGCTTCAACATATGAATTGGGGGTGGGAGGAAACAATTCAACTTATAACAGGCATCTAGGTCACACTGAGATTTTAATGTTCTCCCTGGTACTCTGTTGTCTTTGTACTGTAGGTGGGTTTTTTCCCCCAATTTATGATTTAAAAATCTGTCTTGTAAACAGTTTCTAAGCAGTGGTTCAAATTTATTGACAATTTTGTGATTTTTTTTTTTAATGTTTTATGGACTTCTAAATCGAATAAATATGTCCTCAAGCAAAACTGAAACTCCCTGCATTTCCACTTCCTCATTCTGCTCTTTGCTGTCAAACTCACACACCCTCAGGAAGAGTCAGGGCATCACATCAGGAGACCAGAAAACTTCACAGCTTAATGGCTTAGCTTTTTAAAAAGGACCCTTGCAAGCGTATGTGAACTTGCCATCAGAAGAGGATAAGAAAGCAGCCGTTAAAATGACTTGTCTCGAGTTTCTCATATAAAAAGAGGAAGTTTTCAGGAAAGTCCTGGTAAGTTACTGAACTATTAAATCTTTATTTTTTATGCCTATGAGGAGACAGCTATTTTTATATAAACACAAGTTTGTACATGAACCATTGCTTGTAAAAATATTAAAGTAATTAAAATACCGATGTTCTAAATACATATCAGTATATTTAACTAATACTCAATTTGTAAGTGCCCTTCTAGAAAGAAACGTACCATTTGGAGTAATTAGTATGGTGAGAGAGTTTCTGGTTGTGGCAGGAGAGCAGTGGGAAACAGGACAGAGAAACAGTGTAAAGAGGGTCAGGAATTTAAGCACAAAAGATTGTAAAGGATCCTGTGGTCGTGTGTAATTATGCAAAATTCTGTCTTCTATAACTTAAGATGTTGTTAAAAGTTTTACACTTTGTGAAAAATAATACCCTCCAGAGGCTAACTATTCTACTTAAGTCTTTCCTTTCATCCATCTCATATAGCAATCTGGCTGAAAACTAAAAAAAAAAAAAAAAAAATCTCAAGTGTAATTCAGGAAAACGAAACTAACTTGCTTGTGTGTGGTTTCATTTCCTCAGATCATCAGAAGAGGGTGTGTGTAGCCCTTCCCGGCTACAGCCAGGACGCTGAAGTGCCTTTGCCCTACTGTCAGTTGAGTGCTGCCGAGCAGAACAACTCCTCAGGGCAAGGATATCTGGGATGCTGCTGAGGGCCCCCTGAAATGAGGGTGGCACCTGTGCTTGTCCCTAGGAGCTCTGCAGATCTGGTAAGTTTTGCTCAACATCAAAGAGAGAAAACTGGAGTGTTCTCTTGAGAAAGGCACCCTGCAGCTCCTTTGTCAATAATCAGTGTTACTAATAATAAGATTTGTGTTCACAATTGTTTAAAAACAGGAAGACAAGAGTTATGTCAAGGCATTCTCAAAATTAGTCCAGACCAATCATGGTCATTTTGATCTGTACTTAGTTGCAACGATATATATGCAGATGCTCTTAAAACTGATGAAGTGCAAACTATTTTAAAAGCATCACTGAATATCATAGGTTCAAATAATTATAGGTTCACAACTACTATCATGTTGGAAGGGTGGAGTTGAGAAATTTTTGCCATTATAAATAGGTCCAAAGATATTATTAAAGAGTTTAGTATATCATATTGAAACAAAGTATTGTCAATTTTTCCATTTAACAGAAGAACAGGCTCCAGATTTGGGGAATAAATGTAAGTGACCCTATCTGAGAAGAGTATTTCTATCTCCCTGGTTCTGTTGGCAGAATCTGAACAAAAGTGAGAGAAAGCTGTCCTCTGTTAGGTGGCACAAAGTTCTTTAGCAGAATTGCCTACCCTCTACACAGACGTACAATGAGTCACTGGCTGCACAGAAGCCAAAAAAGAAAAAAAGAGATCTATAAAAAAAAAAGAGATGGACTCTAGAGGGAAATTCCTGATGTGCTGTTTCATTTCTAGAATGTGGGGCCTTATTGAAATTGCTGTTTTCACTGGCTAAAACAAAAGAGAAAACCTGGAGTTTGTCCTCTCCATCTTTAGGATATCCAGAGAGGGTGGGTGGTGAAATGACTGAAAGACGACTCTGGCTAGAAGAAGGTATTGCCTCTGAGCTGAATAGAGTATGCCTGTGCAAAGGATAAGCCCCTCACCTGGAGATCAGCTTCCCAGACCAGAGGCAGCAGGTGAAAGCAGAAGAGGCACCAAGGCCCTGACATTGAGGAATGGGAGTCAGAAGGGACCTCCCCCAGGAAAACACCCGTATGAGAAATGGCCTCATGCAAGACTGAGTGACACAGCAGAAAATAAGGTGTATTATGCAACTGGGGTACCTACAAGGACTGAAAGAGAAAATACATTTATTAATTTTTCTTTCCTTTTGATAAAACCTCCTTTTCATTGTGACCAGATGATAGAAACTGGAGTTAGCTCTGGTGTAACGGTTAGCACAATAAAGAAATCTCCCCAGATTTCTGTCTGGGATTCTAGCCAAGTAAAATAATTGCCCTAGCAAAATGAGGAAAGTCTTTTGATCCACAGACAAGCCAGCTCAAGGGTTTTCAAAACTTTATTATTTTTAATTACTCTAAGAAAGTCTGTAATTCATTCGACAAATTTTTGCCAAGAGACACTTATGTGCGAGACACTGTAAGATAGTGAACTAACCGTGCAAAATTCCTTGTCCTCATGGAGTGCACGGAATCATGAGTGAGACAGAAAATAAACAAGACAAGTAGATAAAAACATATGGAATATTTGATTGTCATAAGTCCTAAGTAGATAAAAAATAAATCTGGAAGAGAGATAAGAAATGTTGGGAGATAGGATAAAGTTTCCTGTAGGCTGGCAAGCAGTGCCTCACGGAGAAGGTGACATTTGATAAAAACTTCAAGGAAGTAAGGGAGTGAGCCCTGCAGGTATCCAAGGACATTCCAGGGAGAGGAAATAAGTGCAGTGGCTGGAAACAGGAGCAGGTGCCACCTGTAAGGAACAAAACGGAAGTCAGGGGGTTGGACCAGATTTAGAGAGAGCAAGAAAAGTAAAACGTAGTAGCAGCGGAGCCACAGGGTACCAGATCATGCGGAGCCTGTGATAAGGAACTTGGCCTTTACTCTGGATGAGACGGAAAGCCACTGGAGAAACTGAACAGAATATCGGTGTGATGTTATTCACATTTCAGAAGGGTCGCTGTGGCTGTTATATTGAGAAGTCGCTGAAGGGATCAGTAGCAATAAGAGGGAAACTGGTGAGGGAGCGATCCCTGTAAACCAGGAGAGAGAAGACTGCAGCTGGAACTAGGTGGTAGCAGTGGCAGGTGGTCAAACGCTGGGTATATTTTGAATATACAACCCATAAAGTTTGCTCCACATTGAATGCAGAATGCAAGAAAAGAGAAGAAATATACTTGCAACACAATTCTGGATGTTTATTTCATTAAATGTATTTAAGTTTAGGAAGAGATGGCACCGGGGAAAGGGTATTCCTTTCACTATTCTCTCCAGTTTTTTATGGGTTTAAAAATTTTCACAGTAGAAAGTTAGAAGGAAAATCTGTTCCATAAACACATCCTAGGCAACAGTCCAATCAGTTGCATTTTAATGTGCTGTGATTTTTTTTTTTTTTTTATGTAATAGATTGTCAGCAAACATATCTTCAGGCAAATTGAACAAGGCCCAGATCTGTTCTGCCTACCTCTCTACCTCCTCATAGCCACTTTCCAGGACAGACTCTTGCAAATTCTCAAGAAAAGGCAACTAATCTAAGGGTTCCAGATTAAAGAGCCTCATGAAGACTTATTTCAAGTTTCTAATATAAAAGTGGAAGTTTTCAGAAAAGCCCTGGTAAGTTTCTAATCATTAGGTCTTGTTTAATCAACTCTCTTTAAAAGCTATCCCTAAAAACTAATTCTAAATACTAAAGCAGAACTTTGAAAGTGAATATGCTTTCAAGCGTACGTAAGTTATTTCTTATGAAACCATTCTAAAAGGAATAAGAAATATCACTGCTTTCACATTCCTATCATTAGACGTAATTTATGCTGACGGCAGAATTCTTTTTTAACATTTACTTGTACATATCTGTGGGGTACAGTGTGTTGTCTTCACACATGCACATACTGCACAATGATTCCCTTAGGGTAGATAGCATAGTTTTGTGCCCATTAGTCCACCACTTTTTCTATCCCCCTCCCCCTCCAAAGTTTAATCATCATTTTATTGAAGACTTTCCTTCACAACTAGCTTGTACAGAGACTATGTGAAGAAATATATAATTTTAACATGCATTTCAGGACAACGAAACTAACTTGCTTTGTGGTTTCAGTTCTGCAGAGCATCAGAGCAGGGCGTGGGCCTCCTTTCCTGGAGGCAGGGACACCTGTGCTGCTGCTGAGAACCAGCCTCTAGAGATGGGATGGGCAACAGTTCTCGCCCGGAGAGCGTGCTGCTTTGATCCTTCCTGCTAGCTTCCAAAGAGAGAAAATGAAAGTACTTATGGAATAGGTCCTGAAACTAAGTAGTAGTAAGGAGAACTCTGGGGTTCAAAATTATCCCAGAACAGAGTAAAAGGGAGAAGGCGGAGCTCCAACCAGAGCAGTCACACCTTTCCCCTGTTGGAGACAGGGGTTTCACGTGCATTTCTTTCAAAGAAGCAGAACAGAAACAACAGCCAAGACAACACTGGTTTTGGTCTAATTCTCCTATACGTAGAATAGGAAACAAGCAGGCTGAGAGGAGACATAACTTACCATGACATAGCTTTCCTGATGACAGCTATGTAGCTTCTTGCTAAACATAAAGTTCCCTTGTGTTTAAAAAAATATGCCAACAATCAAGGATGTAAGGTTGAAGACATGGAAAGAGCCACGGAGTTATATCAAAGCATTATTAAAACCTTTTTGCCCAAATTATTGCCACCTGGAATTAAATACATAGCTTCAGTCAAATATGGATAGACCATATAAGATGCTCTTGTAATTGACAGAGTGCAGATTCAAGTGACAGTGCTATCTAATATACAGTAGCTTCAAATCATTATGTATCTTCTCAGCTACCATCACAGGGGTGGGCACTGAGAAGTTTTTTGATGTTATAAAAGGGTCTTCATCAAACAACAGGGAACCTTTGAGAAAAGGTAGAGATAAGAAGACAACAGGCCTGGGGAGGACCCTATCTGGGAAGGGTGTCTCTATCTCCCTGGCAGTTCCTGACAGAATCCAGACAATGAAGGAGGAAGTAGGGGGGAAGCTGTCACCCTGCAAGGTGACACAAAGACAAGCCCTCCATGTCCTCTCACATCACACACACACAACACAGACGCAGATAAGCAGGAAATCCTGAATGTGCTGCTTCTTGTAGGGTGCTGGGGCCTATTAGAATTGCTGTAATCACCAGCTAAAACAGAAGAGAAAATCTAGAGTTTTTCCTTACAACATTAGGGGTGCCCCGAGGAGAGGCTGTGTAGGTGAATTACCAAGAGAGGACTCTGGCTAAGAGAAGATACTGCCTCAGACCTGAACAGAGCCAGTCCGTGGAGCATGATAGGAGCATCTCCAGAGAAAGGTCCCTTTATCCAGAGCAGTGGTAGTAGTTAAAATGGTGAAGGGCGATGCTGAAGGGCTGAGGGTCTAGCACACTGAGGACCTGGAGTAGAAAGAGATCTCCAGGGAGAAGCTTGCAGGAGAAACATGCTCATTCAGGGACTGGAAGACAGCAAAGGCTGATAGAGGTGTTAGGAAACTGGGGCTTATGGTAGGACTGCAGGTCCCTATAATTTGCCTGCTGGATGAATGATAAATGTTTACTAACTTTTCTTTTAAAAAAGTAAACTCCTCTCTCACTCACTGTGACCAGCTAACTTGGAAGGTGGAGTTGGTTCTGGCCTAATGGATGAAAAAACAAAGATATTTTCCAACTTCTTTTGTTCCACAGGCACTGCCAAATAATGGATTTCCAAAAATACAGTTCAATTGTTTCACCACTCTAAAAATCTTAATTTCTTCATTCAACAAATATTTATTGAGAACTTATTTTATGTCATGACCTGGTGATTGCCAGTGAATGAGAGGCAAAAATGCCTGTTCTCGCAGAGGTTACATTCTAGTTGCTGAAATTAAATGACAAAGATAATTAAGTATAATGTATAGTATGTAAATCCTAGAATGAAAAATCAGGGAAGCAGGGAAGGGTGATGGAAAGTACTGGAAGAAGGACTGAGATTTTAGGAAAAGTGGCCACAAAAGGCCTTAACGAAAATGAGTAAAGGGTTGAAGGAAGTGAGTGTGAGCTATGTAGGTATCTGGGGAAAGAGAATTCCAAGCAGAGGGAATGGCTAGTAGAAAGACCTGGTGCAGCAGCAAGGCTGGCATGTTTGAGGAACAGCGGGGCAGCCAGGAAGCTGGACTGAAGTGAGTGGAGGTGATGAGGTCAAAAATGTAATGGGGTGCACGTATCATGCAGAACCTTACTCAAGGACTTTGGCTTTTACTCCAGTGAGATGAGAAACCATAAGAGGGTTTTGAGCAGTGACATGATTGCACTCACATTTGAACAGGATATGGTTGGCTAATGTGCTGAAAATACAGTGAATGGAGTGGGGATTGGGGGCCAAGCCAGAGCCAGAGAGACCAGGTGAGAAACTGTTAAAATAATCCAGGAAAGAGATAATGGCTTAGACAAGGGTGGTGGCAGTAGGGGTGGTGAGAACTGGTTGAATTCTGGATAAATTGTGAAGGTGAGGTTGAAAGTATTTGCTAATATAGTGAATGTAAGGTGTATGAGAGAAGAAGCAGTCAAAGATGCTGCCAAGGTTTTTGCCTTGAACAATAGGCAAATTTCATGAACTGATAAGACTGTGGGAGGAGCAAGTTTGGGGTGGGAGGGGCAGATAGCAGGAGATCAATTTGGCCATGCTAATTTTATAAGGACTGCTAGATATTCGGGTGGACATTACAGAAGGCAGATATATGGGCATCATGGGAGAAGCCAGGGATGAAGATACTAATTTGGAAGTCATGGACATACAGATGAATAAGATCCATAGGGAGAAACTCTAGATAGAAAAGAGGCATCCGCAGGCTAAGCCTGGGAGACACTCCAACATTCAGAGGTGGAGAGTTCAAGAGGAACCAGCAGAGTAGACTGAGTAGGACCATCCAGAAAGGGAGGAGGAAAATCAGGAGAGTGTGGTACCCCAAAAGCCTGGAAGTAGAGTGTTTCAAGGAAAAGAGAGTGATCACTTGTTTCAAATGCTGCTGGTAGGTCAAGAACTGTTTTTAGCAATGCCAAGTGCAGTTTCAGTGGAGTGGTGAAGCCAAAGCCTAATTGGTGTGAGTTCTAAAGGAAATGGAGGAAGAGAAATAGGAAACCACAGGTAAAGACAGTTCTACCATGAAGAAGAGCAGAAATATAGGGCAAGAGTAGTTTCAAAAGAATCTTGCTTAACATGAAAAAAATAACACACTTGTCTGCTGAAGAGGAAGTCCCAGTGGACAAGGAAAAACTGAAAGGAGCCAGATAGAGAGGACAGAATTGCTGAAGCAATGTCCTTGAAGAAGATGATAGGACTGGGAGGGCCAATGCAAGGGGAGAGGTTGACCCCACTACAAGTGTAGACAGTCCATTCAGAAGACAGCAACTAAGATAGAATATATGGACATGTTAACAGAAGAAAACTCAAGAAGCATGTTGGTGGGTAGATGCAGTTTGGGGAGCTCAGGGAAGCTCTCTTTGGGTTGCTTCAAATGCCACTTTAAATAGGAAGCAAGGTCACAACTGAAAGTGGCAGTGACAAGGAGGTATTGGAAATTTGATAAGAGAGGAGAAAGGGTGAAATAGTCATTTAAGAGAATGAGAAAGTGAATTAAGCATGGACATAACAGCATGATAGCTGGGAGCGTTACAGTGAAGTCTTTAACCAGGGTCATTGTCCAGCCAAGTTCCAATGAGCTGATGGAGCCAAATGGTGGCTTTAACCAGCATTGTACTTTTAGCCAAGGGAGTTTTACAAGACTGCAGAAAGTGAGTGATTATAATGAATGACCGAAAAAAAAAATATTGAGCCATTCAAAGGGGAAAGTGAGGCATTAGGAGGGTGAGGAAAAGGGATAAAGTAATAAGATCCACAGATTGAAGGGGTTGGTGTCAAAGAAATATTATCATTTGAGCACCACGGACAGTTGAGCCTGAGGGGCAGGAGATATGGTGACAATACAATGTTGGCACAGAGATGAGGAGCGCTTGTAGCTCTCAGTAACTGCATTCATTTGCTGGGGCTTCTATAACAAAGCACCACAAAGTGAGTCACTTCAACAACAGAAATGTATTGTCTCAGAGTTCTGGAGGCTAGAAGTTCAGGATCAAGGTGCTGGCAGGGTGGGTTCCTTCTGAGGAATGTGAGGAAAAGCACATCATGCTTCCTGCCTAGTTTTGGTGGTATGCTGACAATCTTTGTGATCCTTGGCTTGTAGAAACATCACCCTGATCTCTACCTTCATCTTCACACACTGTTTTCCCTCTTTGTGTTCCTCTGTGCACAAATTTCTTCTTTTGATAAGGACACCAGTCATACTGAATTAAGGTCCACCCTAATGACCTTATTTTAGCTAATTACATTTACAACAACCCTATCTCTAAATAACGTTACTTTCTGAGGTAATGGAGGTTAGGACTTACGAACGTGAATTTGGTGGGGGGGACACAATTCAACCATGATAGTAATGATAAGGTCAAGGGTCTAACCATGAGACTGGAGATGGGCTGAGGTCAAGATCATTAGACAAGAAGTAGTCAATCAGGTGACAGGCTGTTGTATTGGGAGGATCAATTACATGTCTATTTGAGCC